CGTCGCCGAACAGGACGGGGACACTGCGCAGGCGAGCCCCTGCGCCAGGGAACAGTCACACACACTGGTGTCAAATGAAACAAACTGACAGATTGTAACAAACATTTGTAAATAATATACACTGATCAATATGATTGTATCAATTCTTGATAAACTTACAATCAAATCCAACTTTTCTTCCGCCGAATATATTTTTAAAATGTATCAGTTTACTAAATGGATATCTTGATATTCAATTCCATCATGTCACTATTGTGATATACATATTATTTATACACCTAATAACTATTATTAGGTGTATAAAATGATGGCTTGATACTGGCACAGTTTCTCAAAGTTTTTTACTCTCATACCATGAAACTTTGATTAGCATTTCTGACACTAACTTGTACATTATTTACATTTTTATTATGCATCAACTTCATTAAAAAATGATAATGCTACTTTTCTGTAACTAAACTTCAGCTTTCTGAAGTTACTGACAAACAACTCCAGCTTTGATAAGCAGAGAAAAAGTCTGAACTGTTATTTCACACCTCTTGGTGACCGTCCCTCGCTTTCAAAGTTACTTAACATACATACAAAATGGCAAACTTTGACTCTGAAAAATAACACCTCAACACATTGGAACAACTGCTGGGGTTGTCCCAGAAATACAGGACTGACAAACCAACTTTATCAAAACCAACATATTTTAAGCTGCTTTTCAAGAAAAACAGAAAGCAAGGAGGGAAGAAATTAATTTCAATTGGATCAAAAAGGAAGCAATCCATTCTTACTCTCTTCCCAAACCCTTTTTGCAAGAGAACACTTAAATCCTGTTTCTAATATTTAGCTTAAACCCAAAATACAAGTTTATTTGCACCTGTGACAATTACTCCAACAGTGCCATAGTATTGAGAATTAAAGACTAAATCTGCTTTGTTAAATTTACTGAAGTCATTTGCTCAAAGAAGGAGCTTCTGGTTAACTTTGATACTGGCTGCTGCAGAGAAGGTCTCTAGAATAAGTGGCCTATATTCAGCACTTATTTTTCCTTTAAAACTCAGACCTTCAGGGAAAGGCATTAGGAGACAAAATAGCCTGGACTGCAGAAAAGAGAAGCCTTTTAAGTATTTTATTTCCTTGTTTACCTTCAGCACCATCAATGCCTGCCATGTTAATGGAAGGTCCATTGGCACTTGTGCCTTGGACAGCCTTCAGCTGCTGCTCGAGCCGTTCCAGCTGGTACACAAGGGAATTCTTCTCTGTGCTCAGGCTCTCTAACATGGTTTGCTTCTGAATTAGTGTTTCTGTCAGCTGGTGAAGCCGATTCTCCAATTCTGTCTGACTACTACTGCTTAGAGTCTTGTTTGTCAGCTAAAAAAGCAAAGAAAAAAAATCATTCTAAATTCAAACTCTGATCAACTGACATATTACAAAGCTCTATAACAACCTAAGCTTTCAAGAACCAAGTTACTCCACAGCAGAATATTTGCAGGATAATGCCATTAAAACTATCACTGATGAGTGCAATAAAGAGGAAACCTAATTTCAACAGTTGTTAACTGTTTACATTACACAAGAAACTCTATAAAAATATATCTATCTTTCTCTTTTCCACCTATAATCATATGAAAGTTTCTGTATGAGCCCAAATTTGATCACAACATCGATGCTATGCCTCAGAGACAGGTTTAAACAGCAATCAATAGCAAGCTAATCCAGCCTGCCTACCATACTTTCAACTTCGTGAGCATGTAAAAATGTTTTCACACAATGAAAGGAAAAACTCAGTACAAAAAGGGACACCTGATGCCACTTTACAGGAAAACATGAATGAAATGGTGAGAATGCAGGGTATTGTTGCAGAAGAACTGAGGAGCACCAAGGCAGAAAACATGACTGTACTAGCAAATAGAAACTGCAATGCCAGCAAGTGGATCATGTGTTTGACATGGATGTTGTAATTCAATTTGCAGAAAATATTTCAAGCAAATGGGAGTCATCACATCTGCCATATGTGCAATAGCTCATCTATTCACTCCAGTCCTAGACCTCAGCCACCTTGTGGCATCATATTCCACAAAGATGGAGCTTCATTAACAAAGAAAAGAATCATCAGGAATTACAGATACCCAAAATACAAACTAGGTGCCTGCAACCAGGCAGAGGCAGGTGCAGGTAGTCCTGAAGTTCAGCATCACCAGAAAATTCATCTGCCAACATGCCCAAGAAATCTGTATCACATCACAACCATTTCCAAATGCTGACACTGTAACTGCCCAGCTGCCCACACCTGACTGCAGACTGCCAATTTCCCCATGGACAGCCTACTTTCACTGTGCTAAGGTAACAGAATGAGGCCTGTGCCTTCAGGCTGCCCAAGGAGACTGTGGGGGCTCACAAGTATGTGGGGGTTCCAAAGGAATTAGACTGACACAAGGGAAACGGGTCCACCAACACAGCAGAACTTGGTAAAGAGTCCCACACTAACAACCCTAATGCAGCTGCTGATGTTGAGCAGGCACACAGGAGTGCAGCAAGTGGCCAGGCTCACACAGTGACCCCACTGCCACTGGGCAAGATACGACAGCGGGCCAGATGGATCACAGAGTCTGCAGGATACAACCAAGGTTCTCTGAACAGTTACAAGGATCTGGGCAGAATTCATACTGACCTAATCAAACTCCAATGAGTGATTTTAGTCTGCAAAGAGAAGAACATTGATCCAACACTCTCCACCAGGTCTATTGGGACAGTGGTTGATTTTTTTCCCCCTGCTTTATATAAAAGCACATACAACTATAATACAGGCTATTTACATGGTTCCCTTCTTGTATTCCCTACTCTCAAAACTCTACTCTTTATTGAAAACAAGTACACTGTACCTCACTTGTAGAATGCTAACACGATTTTTCAGGACAGTTTAGTCAAACAAGTAGTTCCTAACACTGTTTTCATAATTGAGGGGTATAAAATTGTTTTCTATACACACCTGATTTCTGAGCTTCTGAATTTCTTCCTCTCTGTCTTTTATTCTGCTTTGCAAAGTATTCTTTGTCCGATACAGTTCTTCTTCAGTATAACGAAGTTCCTATAAAATTTATCACAATCACACAGAACAGAGTTTATACATATTTGTGTTTTGAGAGACAACTCTAGTTATCTAGAGTTTCACAAGAGAACACAAGAAAGCAATATGCTGTAATCAAATACAAACTATTATCTCAGTTACATGTCTCATGGACAGGGGGTATGGGGATAGAGAGCTGAGTATCAAGACACAACCTACAAGGCTAATTAAATTCTTTTGTGGAGACTGCCCTAATATAAATATCAATCCAGACTCATTTACTGGGACTTACACAATTTCATTGGGACCAAAATTTTATCTTCCTTACACTTTCACCATTTGTTGCAGTGCTATCTAAAAACTATGTCAATAATGCAACAATTACAAAATACTTAGAGGGTATCTGTATTCCTAAAATAAACTGATTAATTCAAAATACTATTCTTTAAACATGTTTGAAAACTCTTTGCATAGCTATCTATAATTCTGTATGACATACATCTTCCTCTAAAGTTTAGGACAAATTAACATAGCAGATATGAAAGGAGAAGGAATATTAGGAAAAAAAATTACTGAAGAGTAAATATAACTGTTTTGTTACTCCCATGATTTGGTGGCTATTTTAGCTCCCACTTACAAACCTGTCAAGCTTATCTTTTAAATTAAGACAATCTGCAAATTACTCTGACTTCAGCTGTCAGTCACTACAGAAAACAGATAATCCTGTTCTCCCTTTGAACCATCAGATCCACAAAAAAATATCACCTCTATCTTCTGCTTCAGAAACTTATTTTCCATCTTCAGTTTCAGAAACCTTATGGCAATGGTTAAAGCAACTCCCAGACAGAACTGACCATAACTATATTAAGTATCAACACAACCAATTATGTTAAAAGCACACGTAAATGGGTGTCATCAAAAGGAAAACTTCAGTTTCTGCAACAACTGATGTTTTTTTAAATTCACCTCACTCTCTCTATTGACTTAAAGCATATTCCTCAGAAGGGCAGGAGTAACAAAATACAATCTACCATCTGCTTTGACATAATAAACATCAGCTACCCATCAAGAGCAGACCTCGACTTCTGCCTTTTAATTAGTTCAAGCTGCGGGCATCCCATTAAAATGTAATTTCTGAAAGGATAGATAATCCTCTAAGATAAATTGTTCCTAGCAGATACAGAGGACTCATGCTTTCTTCATTATCAATTCTCTTTACATGAGCTTTTTCTTACAAGGAAAATTTTTAACATGCAAAGGATTTGTCCAATTCCTACTGCATAGTAAGTCTGTTCACATGAATTACAAATTTGCCTTTTTTTCTCCGCTCTCTTTATAGCACAAAACTGTTTAAATCATGCAGAATTCACTCAAAAAGATGACACAATCTGACAGAATTCATTAACATAATTTTATCAGCAATTTGTCTACTACAGCAGTTTAGAAGTAATGGCAATTAGATTCAGAACTGAGTAACAAAAATTACTGCTAAAATTGGTTCTACAATGACATTGTTTAGCAAGTTACAACTTATGGATTAATTGAGCAAAGGAAGATTCATAATGCCACTTTCAGCAGTAGGGTTTTTTAATATAAAAAATGTTACACTTGTTACTATATCCCTGTTTGATTGTTTCCCTGTTGAATAAAGTTCAATTCTGCGCCCTCCCTTGGGGTCGTTTATCCACCAGGATCTCTGTTCATCAGCAGTATCCAGAAGGCCCTGACCATTGCTTAATCTTGGCTGCACTTTCCTTGACCTAGTGGAGCACTAGACAAAAAATTAATCAAACACTGCCCAAGTATCCAAATATTCTCTTCTTAAGCCAAATGCTTTTCTGATGACACCACACAGGGCCTAAAAAGAGATCTGGCTTTCAAGAATTCCTTACCTGTTTCTGCCGTTCTAGTTCAGCTTCTGCCTCCTGCTTGGCCATTTTTTGTGCTGATATTTGCTCTTGCAGGTCTTGAAGCTGCTCTCTCACTGACTCAGCTTCGCTTACCTGCTGTGTCTCCATGTCCTGAAATGAACACAAATATAACCATTTCACTAACATTCAGGTGTTACTGCAAATCTGTCATAGGTAACAGCAAAAACAGTAGTATATGCAATATTTATTCAAAGGAAAATGAAGGTGTGGGTGTATTGGATAAATTACATTTGGTGATTTTATACACAATGTTTTTAGTAACACAGTAATAAAATAAATACATTTTTTGAACATATAAAGCCTCTGCTTCTTCCTTTCTGCTGTCTACAGGCTAAAACTGTAGACAGTTTTAAAACTGTGCAAAATGGGCTTGCATGCAGCTGCTGTGTTGAGCCCATTATGCCAGCAGGTGGGCATGGATGACTTGGATTACAGGGCTTCAAGGATTAGTAGCTCTAGCAGAAAAGAATACAGGTGGTGGCTAGAGAAATCACTATGATTGTTAGGAAAGAAATGTTTCCTTCAAAAGGAACACAGGGAAGAGAGAACTAAGGTAATGAATACTAGAAACAACAGACCCACAATACACAAGAGAACAGTGCTCTGTTGTAGCTAACTGCAAATACAGGTGTACACAGGCACAGCTACCTGCAGCTCTGCTCTCATCTGTTGTATTTGCCCCATCAGTTTCTGTATTTCTTCCCTCTGAGTGTCTCGTTCGTGTCTCAGTTCCTCCAGCTCCACCGTGCTTGCTGTATTGCTATCCAGGCCTTCAATACCAGAGCCTTCTTTTAAACTGTTTATCAACTTTTCCTTAGACTGAAAAAAGAAGTCAATACATTATTTATAGCAGTATTGAACAAGTGCTCAACTACAATATGCTATAATGACTGGTTCATCTGTTCTTTTATCCAGTAATGACCCTACACACTTGAAAATGAAAATGCTTCCATATTGGTAATTTTCTGATTTTCTGTACACCGCAAGACTAATTTAACTGAAAGTCAGTGCTATCTGTGGAAGAGTGCAGTTTTTTTTCTTTACAAGTGCCTGGAATGTTAAACTTGTTATGGATAACAATTTTGGCCCTCTTGGCACTGAAACAGACAAGATGCACACCAACAAACATTACAGACAAAATTGACCCTCTTTTTCTCCTGCCAACAAAATCAAGAACCAAATACAGCAGTCATTCTTCAAGGAAAGAGGATAAATAATTTTATCCAGAGTCAGTCTAGGGCTACATTGACTTGTGATTTTAGTCATTGACATTGACTTGTGATTTTAGGCTTTTCATATTTACTAAGATGATTTAAAACCTGTCCTTGAACATTTGACTAAATTAACTATTCTAAGAAGAGATCTCTATCTTCAACATTTTGCTAACATTTGTAAACAAGACTCAAACTAGCCACATCTGGACATGGTATCTTTGACAATTTACATAGTACAAAACTTGACACAAAATACCTGATTTAGCCACTGTTCATATCACGTTAATCACAAGCAACCTTTCAGGACATGGAAAAATATTCTCTGGTTACATGTTAAGTATCCATTCTATGCTTTGCTTCCGCCCCAGGCAGAACAGAGTAATACTCTTGAATCAAAAATACTGGATATGGAACAAATTGTAGGTTTCACCTACTGCAGTTACATCTATCTGGGCTCATGGATGTGGAACACGCTGACAGATGATGCACAATAAGCACAATGGTTCCCTAGGATTTTTTTTTCAGGTTCAGGACCTGAATTACCATTTCAATTCCATAACCTCATCTATAAACCTAAGGTTACAAAAGGCAGACTGGTAGCTGTTCTATACATGTATCATTACAGATATGCCCCAGAACACATTACAGGTCACATGAAGAAACAGACCACAGGTAGGATTATTTGAAGCATAACACCTTAAAGCAGTTAAAGCACACAGATCACACTGTATTGCTTCACAACAGTGCTTACTTGGAGAATGCGAGTGGCTTTCTGTTTATAGTCTGTCAGCTCCTGTTTTGCAGATTCCAGCTGGCTTTTGGTAACTTTGACTTGCTGCTGAAGCTCATCAGCTCGCCTCTTCTCATCTAAATACTTTCTCTCTGCTGCAGTTATCCCTTCTGCCAGGTGCTGACGTTCTGCTTCCACTTTACTCAGACGAGCTGCAAACTCATTCTATGAGTAACAAAGAAACAATACTTTGTGTTTAACACAGCTTCAACTTTCATCTAGGAAGGAAAAAAGAAAGTTTAAAAGCAACTACACAGAGCACACCATCTCCTATCTACCACCTCCAACTTAAAGACTCATTACTGCTACGTGGGAAGAAGCTCTGCTTGCTTAACCAAGTGGTAAATAATCCAAATAAGAATATGCTTTGCTTTCCCTCACCAGAAATAGTGAGGGAATAACAATCTTCCTATTATTCAAATTTATTTAGCAAAGAAAAAGCAAGCTTGTTCCTCAAAAAATATTATCCATTTTAGTATGACATATTTTGAAGTACTGTAAAAAAAAGTCAAAACAGACACTCTCAAAAATTTTCAGATATGCTATCATATGTAGCAAAGGCCAAATTAAGTATAGAAAACATTATTGATAATGTTGTTGCATCTTTCCCACACAAGTCCTTCATCTTAGGATCTCACAGTAAAATTGTGTAACAACACACCATGGAAAACTAAACTGATTACCAATTTACTTTTCAAACATGTACGAACATTAAAGTTAGCATTAAAAACCCAGTAAAAATTGTCAACATTAATCCTCAAAAACTTTTACTCATGAAGTTTTCAAAATAACATATAAGAAATAAATTAGCAACTCAAGGGTATTTAGTGCAGCAGACAGCAGCACACCCTTCCAAGCAATTAGTACCCTGAACAGGAACTGGAGTCAAAGGGAGGAGAGAGCACATGGAACCTCATGGATCTGATCTCAAAATCAGTCTTAAAGTCTTCCTGACTCTTCATGTCTAACCTGCATTTGTTTGTAACTTTCTTGCTCTCGCTTGAGTGCAGAGTCTGCATCACGCAGCCTCTCCTGAAGAGTTTGAAGGGCTTGATTTTGTAAACTGCTTCCTTCACTGTGGTCTTGTATTATCCTGAAATAGAGACACACGTTTATTGGAAAAGAAGCAAACTATTGTGATTTTTTGTGTAGAACTATAACCTCCTAGATTCCAGACCAGCTTTGGAAATTTGCCCAGTAGATTACTGCATATGGACTACAGGTGTGAGGCCTGCAGTTAATGACTCACACTTCTCCTCCCTGGCCTATATTCTGGAGTATCCATATCCCAGCAATGAGATAAGTATGTACATTTGTGGATAAGCAAGTCTATTTTTCAAGAAAAAAAATTCTTGGGATCTTCAGCTTCATGCCTCTGACACAAATAGTTTACACAAAATGGATTGCAATAATCAGATGCCAACAGATGCCCTATTTAAGACTCATTTGTCCTGTTCCCACTGCCAGCTATGACAGAGCAGTTTCAGTGCAAACTGTAATCCTTGTATTTCAAATCTTTCCTCATTAGTTTATTATTTTTTATTCTTGAAGGCAGTGAATGATCTACCTTGATTTTTTTCAAACTTATTACTATTTGCAGAATTGCAAAGCATGAAAGGAAGAAGTACCGTGATTTTTCACTCTGCAGTGCCTCTAAAGCTTCTGTCCGAGCACTCAGGAGCTGATCAGCCTCTTGCAGCCGTACTTTCAGCACAGCCAGCTGGGAATCTTTGGCACCAACAGCTTCTGTCAGATCATCCACCCGAGCCTGAAGCTCTCTAACCATCCTGTCACTCTTGGAATGGTCAACATTCCACTTCTCCACCTTCTCCCGGGATTTGGTCAGTTCTACAAAATAAGAAGTTTCTTTGAAGTTTACAAAAGTAGATATTGCAAGGGCTTGTAAGCAGTCAAGATGCAACTATCTCATTTCTTAAAAAAAAAAAAATTAAATACAACCAAGTTGAAGTAAAATTGAAAATCTATAAGCTACTGGGAACTAACAAGTGCTAGATTTGCTGTCAAAACACAACCCAGAAAATTTTGGAGGTGATCTCAAAATAGACATTTCCCTCTGAGTCATTCTTCTGTGGATGACAGATTTCACCTGATCCATCCCCTGCAATGGCTTACTGTCAAACATCCCTGTGCCAAGAGAAATGTTTGTATAAAGCACCTAGTTTAACTGCAGTTTGAGTTTACTGCCACATAAAAAACAACAGAAAAATATACCAGTTGTGAATAATGCCTGAATACTTAGAAGCTTCTGTTTTTAATCTAACATCACACATTAAATTTCAACTGGATATAAAAACTTAAACACAACATCACACATTACACTTAAACTAACATCACACATTAAACTTCTACTGGATATAAAAATTATTTGGCCTATGCAGTTACTGTGAAAAAAATGCGGTACCTCAATTTTATGCCTAACAGCAGGAGTTTGCTCTCTGTTTTAACATTTAATTTGCACTCATATTTTTTATATTTTCATTTCACTCGATTTTGAAGAAGAAAGTGATGTCATATTAAAAATATTAACTTTATATTTTTACTGTCAGTTTGTAGGCACCAGAGACTACAGACTACTACAGCCAGAAAGTAGTCAGTTTGAAGTATTCAAAGGAATTTGGTCATTTAAAAATAAGTATTTTGCAAAAGCTATTAAAATGCAAGAAAAGTATTTTGAACATGGTATTGGCTGCCAGTGTTTTATTGAGATGTAAGCTTTGTAACTAACTTGAACACATCATTTTAATCAATGTTTGTTGTATCTTTGTAGTTGAACAAGCCTTTTAATTTCTCCCATCTCATTACATGGGAAGTCACACATGCAAAGGTACCTGGAGAGTTTTTATAATAAATACATAGAGCATTGTTTCCTAGCTCACTGGCACATTGCTAATGTTACAGCTGAAGTACCTTCTTGTGTTTCTTTGGACCTCTGTATTAATGAAGCCACTTCTTGATTTAAAGACTGAACCTCATTTCGCAGCAGCTGGTTCTCCAGGCGAAGGTTGGACAGCTCATGGGATTTGGAATCATCACTGGCTGAAGGGCTGGGGCTGGTGACTGCACTTGGGGATGAATCCTTCAGGCCATCATTCCCTTGGGCTCCCAGGCCAGAGTCTGAACTGTCTGGAGTTTCTGTACAGGGAGATGCAACTTAGAACAAATGCCTGTGTTTGTACACTACCTTTCTATAAACAGTACTTCCATGTTCTGCATCAATGGTTAAGGAACAACAAGGATAATAAATCAAAATAGTTCATGCTGGAATGGAATATGGAGCTGCTTCTCAAAAGTGATTGCACAAAACAGGACTATGTACATGCATCACGCAATGTTTTTGTTAATACTGCAAGACAAAACATAATAGAAGTTACAAAATTTCTTATTACATAAATGGCAACTGTAGGATTTCAAAACATTAACACTCTATTTATGACTTTGCTGCTCAGAGAAGTCCTCAGAAGCTGAAGAGTAACAGAAAACACTAAATGCTAAATGTACATGGCAACTAACTGCAGGAATATTTGGTACAAGCTCATTCTGATATTCATTCAGATTTTGCCAATGCCAATTTTGTTTCAAAAGAGAGAACAATAAAGGAACTCCTAGTGGTATTCTGAACAAGGTCCCTGGAGGGAAGGAGGAACCAACAGCCTTTTCCCAACATGCACAACACACATCTTGGATAAATGCTGTGAAAGCTACAAATCCCCTGTAAGAGTCCTGATTCCAGCACGCAGATAATTGGAAGCTTTGCAGCAATGTCAAGATAAAATGACACAGCAAGCAAGGAACAAACAAACAGGCAATCCAAAATGTTACTGCTGAATATTTGCTTCCCCTTGTGATCATTAACCAAAGCTGCTTCACTTTTCTCACCACTGCAACAGCCCCTAACACCCCAAGCCCCGGGAACGGGGGCACACTATTAATGCTGAGCAACACCACACCCACAAGTAGCAGCAGTGACACAAGAGTTCTTCCATGTTTTCTCAAGCCTTTTTCCAATTAAAGGGATCCTAAGAAATGTCCTTATCTTTCCTTTGATTTACTTAACTTTCCAGCTTAGGAAATAATTTAGGCTCATTTCTCTGTCTGGAAAAGTCAATAGATTAATTAAGCTAATGAACCAAGCAATGAGCCATTTATAGCATTTACTGGATTATACCCATGGCAACATACAAAGTACAATGTTAATTTGTTTTGTCTACAACTAATACATCAAAAGCTACTTCAACACATTCTGTGCTGAATATTTAAATGACACAGATGTATCTGTACAATGAACTTTGGAAAACAGTGTGTTTAAATCCTGTATTGTAACTGCATTCTTCCTTATTTAGCAGCTCCACAACACAAAGTCTGCTCAAAAACCCTCAGAAGAAAATTCAACAAGCCACACTGAACAAATGTTTCTTAAGCACCAATCAGCAAGGCCACAGAGTCAGGTCTAACATATCTGTATTATTTATTTTTAGTAGTAAACCTTAATGAAAAGTCATGGACTCAAAAATATTCAGATGTTTGGGAATTATCCCTTTTCATGTCTAAAGCTTCTCAGCATACCTAATGTAGTAGATAAAAACCTGGCATTTACAACATTTTACATGTTTAAAGTACTAAACAAATAATAGAGTATTCTAACTACATTATTAATAACAGAACCACTTGCTTCAATTTTCTAAAATAAGTGACAGCAAAGTTGCACAGCAACAAGGATGGAATACAGCCTGGACAGTCTGGTAGAGAACACAAGTTCTTGACACTTCCCAACCACATTGTCCTTTGTGTGGCTGACTTGAGCCCAGCCCCAGCTTCTGTCTGTCTGGCCTGAGGCTCACTCAGGCCTCTGGATTCAGACTGCAGCCATGAACTGCTGCTGGCAAAGCCAGAGGCTCTATCTCCCTGGCTCCCCACCAGCCTGCCTGCATCCAGCTTCCTGCAGGACAAGCACGTTGGCCAGCTCACCCTCCTGCACGGAACAGGAACACCTCACTCCACCCATGTGCTGCACTGGGGGAAAGCCACTCCCCTCCCACGTGGCAACAGCGGCTACCAAACAAAAGGGAGACCAAACAAAAGCAGCAGCACCTCTGCTTCTATGTGGGGACATGTGGGGCTGGGGCATGGCCAGAGCACAGCTCAGAGGGGCCAGGCTGAGCAGCAGCAGCAACAAGGCACATCCAGAGCACAGAGGATTCAGGTATTCATTCTGTTGTCTGTCAAACTAGCACAGTATCTGCTATTGCCCCAGTGATGAAAACACCTGAAAGGCCTTGCTGTACCTCGCCCATTTGACATTATTACCACCATTAAATGTTTCATGAAGTTTGATGTGTTACCTAGCCTTACCCCAGACATACTTGGGTTTTACATATCTCTAGGTTCAATACTATTTAACTACCATTGCCTTGGCTCCTGATGGAATTATCCTCAGTAGTTTTTGCACTCTGTGTACTGGTAGACACAGAACTAATGCTTGAAGTCCGAGAGTGATTCTGAGGAACAAGTGCCTTGCTCTTCTCCTTTTTAGAGTCTATCCTTCCATTAGGTTCTTTCTCTGAACTGTTGAGAAAATCAAATAGCAACTCGTCATCAGGTTCTGACTTTTTTCTTCTCACAAAATGTGAGGCAGCTCTGGGTGTGGAAGCATTTTCTACTGGAGAAGCTGCCTCTGAGGATGTCCTACGTGCTGTTTTAATATTTGCTGTTCCTGCCAGGATTGTGGCCTTTTGGTGTTTAATATTTTCAGCTGCTGAGGAGATGTAGGCTGCTTTGGATGAGCTCTGGTATTTCAGTTCTCCAGTATGCTGGTGCACTTCAGAATACTCATTGGCAGAGTCCAAGTTCTTCTTATCATAAACTGCACTGCTCGAGGTGTCTTTTTTGCTCAGAGCTGATGCAGCTCCTTGATCAACTCTGTTGAGCAGATCCTCTGCCTTTCCAGCGAGATCAGCGAGCCAAGACATGATGAGTGTCTGTCAATGACCTCTGTACAATTAAAATTTCAGGACCATATACTGCAAAAGACAGAAGGATTACAAATCAGATAGCTGCTGCTGCTGAGGCGAGATGTAGTGTTTATCTTAAATAACTGGTGTGTTAAGCTTTAGTGCTGTAGTAATTATAATACTTCTGCTTATTTGGTATTTTGCTCTTCTGGTAACTAATGGAAATAAACCAAACCACTTTCAGAGGAAAACAGACAAAACCTAGGTCTTTAAATCAAGGTTATTAAAATCATACCACTGCATCAGTTTCTGGTATCTTCAGTTGCTACAGAGTATCATAGAGGAAACAACTATGACTTAGATATTTGGGCTGCAAATTCCTAACCTGGCTCAGGCCAGGATCTCCTCCCCCACAAACTCTGCAGCCTCTGCCTCTCTGTGACACCAACACGGCGGACAGGTGCCTTCATGGCCTGCACCCCGGGCCTGCGACACCGCAGCGGGGGCGTGCGCCTCCCCCCAGCTCCGGGAGGGGACGTTCAGAGCGGCCGCTGCCCCCACCCCCAGCACCGCCTGCCCTCCCCAGGCCCGGCCCCACGCAGGAGCGGCGGGGGCTTCAGCAGGACCCGGCCTCACCTCCTGCAAACGCTGGGGAGCCCCGGCCCGCGGGGAGCCGTGAGGGGCCGGCGGTCAGCGCTGAGAGCCCTGGCCCAGGGGGGAGCCCTGAGGGGCCGGCGGTCAGCGCGGGGCCGCAGCCGGGCCGGGCCGAGCGCCTCAGCCCTAGCGCTTCCGGCAGACGTGGCCGCCTTTCCGGGGGCGCCGGGCGCAGGCGCAGCGGAGCCGCCCCGCCCCCGGCACGCTCATGCCCCGCCCCCGGCGCGCTCGGTCCCCGCCCCCGGCACGCTCGGGCCCCGCCCCGCGCTCGGGCCCCGCCCCGCCCCCGGGCGGGAGAGGCGCTGGCCCCGTGCGCCCCCTGGCGGTGCCCTCAGTAACCTCTGAGGGGAGACTCGCAGGAACGCCAATGCCACAGGATCACAGAATGATCTGTATTAGAAAAGAGTTCAGAGATCAGCGAGCCCGGCTCTTGGCCCAGCACTGCCAAACCCACCAGTAAAACCACATTCCCAAGTGCTGCGTACTTCTGACTGTAACATCCTTCCCTGTCATCTGTGACTCAGAGTCTGCGACCTGCAGTACTTGAATAATTTCAAGATTTATGGCTATTATCTCTCTTCCTTAAATGCTTTTTCTTAGTAAGGATAGTTGTTAAAGTGTACATAAAGTACACTTAAGATGTACTCAAAGCACTACATAAGGTTTTGTTGTTCATCCTCTTTCCCCTTTATTTTTTCCTGAACCTTCTACACCAACATATCACAACTAACCACCACATTTGCTTCTCAGAGAGTTTCTACTCATGCCTGAATTATCAGCAAGAATGTGAATGAAGACAACACTTACACCTCCTGCCACTTCAGACCCTCCTCTACAGAGGATCTGTTGTTCTCCTGATTATAATGCTGAATGCATGGCTGGTGACTTACATCCATGTTTCCCCAGTTGTTATCTAGTCGTTATCTTGTCAGATCACATCTTACAAGTATTCTCTGGTTAAATTCACTGCTAGGCTGTTATCAAGTTTTCTGAATGTTGATACCTGGTTTACAGAAATTTCCTAACATCTTATCATGGTAATCCTCTTCCAATGGGAAACATGCAATGTTTGGAAAGATTATGAAGAGGTACTCTATAAGTTAAAGACTTCAAAATGTTTGTCTATAGATATGAATTATTAATTATCATTGGGCATCCTTAGGACTTATGCCCAAGCAGGAGACAGGAGCCCTGCTGCCAATTCAGAACATACTCAGGGAACCAGTACTGGTATGAGTTAATAGAAAATCCATCCTGCCTCATTGCAGATTAAGCAACACATTGGAAATAATAGTAATAAACCAATGAATTCACAACCTTCAACTTTTACATCACGTGGATCAGCTGCACATAATTTTAATTAATGTGAATGTATCACCTCCTCAGGCACTAAGAAGAGAGTCTGTCTTTTACAAAGGGGGTAGAAAAAAAGCATATTTCAATCCAGAAAATATCCTATTGCATCACTGCATCTAGCAAGCCCTTCTCTGCATTAGAGTCTGAGAACATGTTCAGGAAATATGCCCACAGCAGAGATGCATAACCAGCAAGAGGAATTCAATTCACATTTTAACATGTCCCATTGCACTCCAGAGCCATTGCATGGTCCTTGTTTGACTGAATCATCTCAGAGATGTAAACTAGTTTAGATTAGTAAATGGTTGGACAGAAGTGCCTTTTATTCAAGATTACACACGCAGACTCATAGGATCACATCTGAACTGCCCGCAGCCCGGGAATTTCAGTTCTTGCAGAGGACATAATTATTTACCTCAAAGTAAATTCCATGGCAACTCTCTTTCCCAGTTCATACAAAACCTTTAAAACAGAGGTCATGTATAGATTTTATATTGACTTGTTCAGTTACAGAATCATTCCATAAAATAAATCATACTTTATGTGTAACCTGGGAAACAGCTATTCCCTCTGAATGCTCTGATATAATGTAGTAACTCCACTACATTTCCCCCACTATTTAGTGTCTCACATTTGGTGTGTAATCTTTGCAACTGCCTGATTTCTAACGATATAAAGGTTACAGCAACACTATTAACATTTATTCTATTTACATTTTCTCAATCACCGACAGTCTCCAAAAATATTTCCATTTATAAAATCAGAAAAAAAAATAGCAGAAAGTTTCTGGGTGAGGCCCTGAATAAATAATGATATCTCTTTCCGTGGTGCTTCTTTAAGAACTGTATTTTTATTCCCATAACTGAAGTTCTCAGATTTTGCAGGGTGGTGAAGAAGATAAAAGAAGGAAAGAGAGCTTGCTGCTTGTTCCACTGACCTATTTATAAAGTCCCTCATGTCTGCTATATCAACAGTTACTTCTAAGAATGCTGTGACTGCCAGGCTGAGTGGTGAAAATATTAAATTCTGTCACAAGGGGCATACAGCTTCATTAACTACCACTGAAAACTTTACAGGTGTCTTTTCAGTTTACAGGTGCCCTCCTCAGGGTCCAGGCCCTGATCTGAGATGCTACACATCTTGCTGCATAGTTTGACAAGTTCTGGCTGCAATTCTCTGTCTGCAAGCACAAAAAGGGAGGGATGCATATCTAGCTGTAGACAAAAAATTAGACTTTCTGTACAAAGCCTTTAGATCCCCATTCATACTCAAAGTAGAAGTAATTTTAAGCTATAATTTACAGATATTATTTTTGTCTATTATGGCTCTCACTGTATGGAAATTTAAATAACGAAGCTAGAAAATATCTGCCCCAATAACTATAACACAGCAAGATTAACTCATTGCCAGAAAATATTAGGGGCTTTAGGTTTGATTTTTTTAAAATTAAAAAAAGAGGCAGGCTCTGCTGTTGAAAAAAATAATTAAATTACTATTTCTCACTTTGAGCTGATCCACAGTCTCCTCATTGTTCATTAAGGTAAATTTTTTGGTTGAAGAGGCAAAACAGATATGTAGTTACATGATTTGTATTAGGTTAATCTCTTCTCTAAGTATACTGAAAGAGAGCTTTCGCAGTTAGTTTCTGTAAAAGACTGTGCTGAAAACCATAAAAATTTCAAAAAATACAGCAACAAGAAATAAAATAATAAAAAAATAAAGATGGGTCATGTCATCCTCATTGAGCCTTCTTTTTCATGTGTTGTGATATTAATACACAACTACATATCTGGTCTGAGGTCATGCAGTATACTGGAAGCATGCCAAATATCAAGGATTGCAAAATGAGGTGATGGTCCCTGGATGAGTTGCTACTTCAGCTTTTATTTCATTCTCAGTATTCACTGTGTGGCCTCGTGCCATTGGTCACTTCAGTGCACCCCCGAACAGAATGCTATGAACTGTTGTCTGTGACCTTGCCTGACTGTGTGTGAGCAGAGAAATCAGGTCCTGCCCAAAAAGCTGCTGTGAAACTGCTCTGTGCTGGCTGCTGTCCCTGTGTGCACCCCGAGGTAAAGGAGGGTGCTGAGCCTCCTCCTCCAGCTGCCTCACCCACCCTGCCAGGGCAGCTTCCCTACCTTTGAGCTTACCAGGTTCCCTACCCTTGAGCCGCAGGTTCCCAACCTTTGAGCTGCAGGTTACCAACCTTTGAGCTGCCACCTCTGCCCATGCAGCTCACACACCACACCCCTGAGGCTGCTGCTGTCACCATCTCCACATTCCAGTGGGGAATTGAGGTGTGGTGAGGAGGAACTAAAGGTGAAATCCTTCTCTGTGCCTGAACAGAGCAAAACAGGCTTGGTCTGGTCAGAATGTACAAACTCTGGGGATGGATCATGCTCAGTGCTAATGAACGTGTAAGAATTTTAACCACCAGCCCTCAGTGCACTTCTGGGATCTGAAGGTGTGGAACTTGTCCAGATGGGACTGGCCTCTTAAAAACAAAGCCAAAAGTCACAGCCCTGATTTGACCATCATAATTTTATTGGTTAGAAAGGCCAGTCAAAGCACAAATCCCTCTCTGAAAGTGGCCAGCTGCAACTGGCGAGGGAAGGTACAGGAACAGGTATTTCTCAGCTACACTCTTCTTAGAGTTTTGACTCAGGGACTTCCAAAGCCAAAGGGAATATCTGAATTTAGAATGCCTTCAAAGATATTTTTTCTTTTTAATTACTTAATAATTAGTAGAACATTTCAAAGCATCTAGGTGCAAAAGCATCTCAGCTAGAGAATTTGTAAATAGAGGCACAATTCTGTTTTCTTTTGTTGGACCCTTCACACCCCCACACCTCACCTCCCCATCCCTTATAATTTTCCTTGGTATCTAAATTGAAAATTATCAGAAAGCAGTTCTTCCATAAACATGTAGCATGGAAAATGTTAAGGTAAGTTTGAGGAGGACTTTTAGAAGAACTCCATTTCAACATGAAATGATGGACATTCTTAGCTCTGCCTAGTGGCTGTAACTGTTGGCACATGAGCTTAAACAAGGAGCAGGGGTGCAATGCAATAGGCCCTGGCTAGAACACGTAGCCAGGAATATTTGGAGATAGACCACTCTTCATTTTTGCCCTGGAAAGGTTGCTCTGTCTCCACTGCTGCATCCTCACTTTTGTGTCAAAATGAAAGACACAAAGTTATGATGTACTTGCATTCCTTCTTCCTCAGCGTAACTCAATTGTATTAGGAAAACACACACACATTCTTTCAATCTTTCTGTTGTTACTGCTTGTATTTTCTTTTGTTGCTCCTATTTCTTTATTTTCCTGTAATAAATTACAGTGACACTTTTTCTGCAGTGTCCTCACTACCTTATTTCCTTCCTCTATATAAAAATGACAGAATTAGCATATTATCCTTCTAGCAGGAAACAAAGCCAGCTCTCTTAGACACTGCCAGAATTATCAAAGTTTTGACATCAAAAGTGTCTAGTGGTGTTTAAAAAATAGCAACTTAAGGAATACCAAGTCTGGAGAGTAAAATGTCATTTAATGATTCAGGTTTTTTTTTTTTTTTTTTTGGTGTTCAGTCATATACATTTTCATGAGCTCAAGGTACTCAGAATAAGTCTTTGAAAGGGTAGAGGTTTACCTCTAACAAGAAGATGGAATTTGATGCAAAGAGTGTAAGACCAGCTCATGGTGTGAGTGCTGGGTGAAAGACACTGGGCCAGTCTGGCAACTTCGCAGCTTA